ACCATTGCTTCAGAAATAGAGTATTTTCTTACAAAAATATGACTAAAAGTGAATTTGCATTTTTTTTTTAAATTGGAAATTGCCTGTTTTATTTTGAAGTAGGCAAAACAAAATAGCCTTGGCGATGGGCTGTTAATGTATTGTGAAACTTAAAAATCAAACTAGAATCATCTTTAGTGAGGGCCCAAGTTTCTGAAATATATAAAGAAAATACCATGAAATACTCATATAGTATTCTAAGAACCAAACAAAAAACAACAACAACAAAGTAGTGTTAAATACTGAGTATTCTAAGAACCAAAAAACAACAAAGTAACGTTAAGTATTGAGTATTCTAAAAACCAAAAACAACAAAGTAACGTTAAATATTGAGTATTCTAAAGACCAAAAAAAAAAACAACAACAAAGTAACGTTAAATACTGAGCATTCTAAGAACCGAAAAACAACAAAGTAACGTTAAATATTGAGTGTTCTAAGAACCAAAAAACAACAAAGTAACGTTAAATACTGAGTATTTTAAGAACCAAAACCAACAAAGTAACGTTAAATACTGAGTGTTCTAAGAACCAAAAAACAACAACAATGTAACGTTATATACTGACCATTCTAAGAACCGAAAAGCAACAAAGTAAAGTTAAATACTGAGCATTCTAAGAACCGAAAAGCAACAAAGTAAAGTTAAATACTGAGTATTCTAAGAACCAAAAAACAACAAAGTAACGTTAAATTCTGAGCATTCTAGGAACCGAACAGCAACAAAGTAACGTTAAATACTGAGTATTTTAAGAACCAAAAACCAACAAAGTAACGTTAAATACTGAGTGTCCTAAGAACCAAAAAACAACAACAATGTAACGTTATATACTGACCATTCTAAGAACCGAAAAGCAACAAAGTAAAGTTAAATACTGAGCATTCTAAGAACCGAAAAACAACAAAGTAACGTTAAATACTGAGTATTCTAAGAACCAAAAAACAACAAAGTAACATTAAATATTGAGATAAAATTGTTTTTCAGCGTGCTTTAATGATAGGTGGACTTCAGAAATAGAAACTGTTCAGACCAATATAAATGTACCATTTTTTAAGTGTTTTTGGGCAACAGTTTGTTATTATTATTTTTTAATTGATATGTTTGCATTCAACCGTTTCGGATCTGTCAGAAACGACGACGAATCTGAGCCGATTCTATCAAGCTAATATTTCAGGTAAAAGTACAGGTGTTGTATATTATCAACAGCACTAATTCAGGAAGAGCTGGTGTCATTATTAACCAGAAGACATCTACAGAAGAATACGAGATCATAGTTCATGGCTATATCACCAAAATTATGGGAATAAACACAGAAGTTCAAATTTTCGAATTCAAAAGTTTGATGTGATTGATATATGTTTACAAGTTTTTATTTTCTTAGAACACAAAATCCGATATTTCCACAATCCATTGTACAAATTAATTTTCAAAGGTCAAAGCAAATGTCATTTATAACAGTTTTACTGGTTCTTGGAGGTAAGGTTTAGTTCTCTCATGTCTTGAATAATAGGAGCTGATCACATCTGACATCACAGTGAAATTCGCAGTAGAGAAAGCTCTCCGTTAAACTGATTACTAAGATACCATCTTGTTGGTTACCACCTCAGCATCTTATATCACAGTAAAATTTGCAGTAGAGAAAGCTCTCCGTTAAGTTGATTACTAAGATACCAGCTTGTTGGTTACCACCTCAGCATTCTACATCACAGGAAAATTCGCAGTAGAGAAAGTTCTCCGTTAAGCTGATTACTAAGATACCATCTTGTTGGTTACCACCTCAGCATCCTACATCACAGTGAAATTTTCAGTAGAGAAAGCTCTCCGTTAAGCTGATTACTAAGATACCATCTTGTTGGTTACCACCTCAGCATCTTACATCACAGTGAAATTCGCAGTAGAGAAAGCTCTCCGTTAAGCTGATTACTAAGATACCATCTTGTTGGTTACCACCTCAGCATCCTACATCACAGTGAAATTCGCAGTAGAGAAAGTTTTACGTTAAGAGAACAGATGAACTCACTTCACGTTATTTATGCTAACTATCAGTTAAAGTAATATAATTCACACATATGAAGAACAAAAGAAATATTCGAACACATGTTTACCCTAACATGTTTGATTCACTGTATCACGTGCTCAAAAAACTCAGCGTCTCCATTCTTCGATGCCTAAATATGACCACAGCTCCGACTGTTGCAGTTTCTTTTCGTATATATATATTTGTGTGTGTGTTATAGAGAGAATTTATTAGTCGGCTGTTGCCCATTTTTACGAGAACTACTCAAATGGTAATGTTGACTGTCAGGCAATATCTAAGTCTATTTTTTCTTGTTTTTCTTTTTTACGCAGAGGGAATAAATTGCTTTGATTTTTAATAATTTTATAAAGAGGACAAAATGTGGAAAGTGAAAGAAGGATATTAATAGCGAAATAAATATAGTCGGAAGGAAATAAAAAAACTATAATGACCTACCCAGCCACCGACTCAAAGCAATTCGTATTGTATTTCAACTTTGTCACTTTGCACGAAAAATAAAATATTGCTTTAAGAAAAAAAAACCTTTTCAAGTGAGGCACTGTAGAATTTCCCGCGATTATTGATCTGTGTTGAAAAAAACCCATAAAAAACTGTCATTTATCTTTAAAAAAAGTATATACGTCATTCGCATGGAGAAAATAGCCATTCTCAAAAACCTACCAGAACGTGAAAAATTGTAATGTTACAACGATTAGATTTCAAAGTTGAGTTCGGATTAATTCAAAGAAAACGTGTTCATTAATCCTTCCTAACTACTCATTCGCTGGATTATCGCAAAAGGTAAATTAATACGAAAGTAATTGGTGGTTAGTCCGTTTTAATTATTAATATAAAATATATTTGTAGACCACAAGAAAATTATTATTCTCATCTTTCTTGTACATTTATGTTTAGGTCGTTAAATATCTCGAGCCATCCTGTTAGTTCATTGATGTTTTAAACTGCTCGAATTGTTGTTTTTTACGATTCTGGTGGCAGTCATGGTTCCAGCTAAGGCTCACCAGCACAGCTTGTATCAGCAAACCAAGAAATACAGTTAGGCCTCTTAAAAATGGTGATTTGTATATGATATTTATTGGGTTTTTGAGATATTTTTGTTCACTATATGGGAACCTAAGTTAATTTAGGTGTATGAATAATATTATGGTCGTGCTGATGAGCCTCGAATAGGCGAAACCGTAGTCCACAGCAAAGGGTGCGCGTTCAGTCAAGGAATTCATTAGGCCTCGTCCTCATAGATTATATTTTCAATTTTACCTTTGATGTTTCATTGAGGTTATGATACCCAAAACAACGATAGTGTTTCATTGAAGTTATGATACCCAGAACAACGATAGTGTTTCATTGAAATTATGATACCCAAAACAACGATAGTGTTTCATTGAAGTTATGATACCGAAAACAACGATAGTGTTTCATTGAAGTTATGATACCCAGAACAACGATAGTGTTTCATTGAAGTTATGATACCCATACTAACGATAGTGTTTCATTGAAGTTATGATACCCAGAACAACGATAGTGTTTCATTGAAGTTATGATACCCAGAACAATGATAGTGTTTCATTGAAGTTATGATACCCAAAACAACGATAGTGTTTCATTGAAGTTATGATACCCAAACCAACGATAGTGTGTCATTGAAGTTATGATACCCAGAACAACGATAGTGTTTCATTGAAGTTATGATACCCAAAACAACGATAGTATTTCATTGAAGTTATGATACCCAAACCAATGATAGTGTTTCATTGAAGTTATGATACCCAGAACAACGATAGTGTTTCATTGAAGTTATGATACCCAAAACAACGATA